TGGCTGACTGCTCGCAGACACCATAGGTGAGTTTCTGACTTATGCTGACTCTGAAAATTACAGATGGGAATTGAATAGCATATATTAAAGAACCCATTTTTCACACATTTTTCTATCTAATTTTTAGTTTTTCCCGAGTTCCACTTTAGACGGTCATAATTCATTTTTGCATGAGCACTTTCTAACCTCTCTTTATCCCTTAGAATTAAACAGGGTGTTTTTGCAACTGTGCCCGTAAGACAAATATACACTGGTAGTCAGCTCCATAATTATTGGTACACTTGGTAAAGATTATAAAAAACAAGTAATGACAAAATGTCTAGCTCAGTCTCACACTCATGTATATATGAGAGAAATCCAACCTTTCATTTAAGTAAATGTTGTCTAAGAAACAAAATTATGTAAAAATAATGGAACTGGATCTTTTTAAACTAGGGGTGCCAATAGTTATGGAGCTGACTGTACGACCTCAGTATGTTCTGACCATGACTGTATGTTCTGATTGTCTGTCCTGGACTGTGCTTTATTCAAAAAGCTTAAACTTAAATGAGCAGATCAAATGTATTTGTTTTTGTGACATCACAAAAACAGTACATTAATAATGGGCTGTTTTTTGCAGCTTAGTTTCATGTACGGAACTTTAACATTTACTCACTACATCAATTCTTTTATTTCAAAATTAGGAAAATTTACCCTTTAACAAAACCCATCACTGGCACTCCTATTATGGATGATGTTCACAGCATGTATCATATTGAACATGACTTGTAAATAAATTGCACTTTTCTAATGTAATTCTATGTGATTAATCTGTTGTCATAAGAAGATGACATCTTTCACTTGTCTCACATTCAGACTAAACATATGACCAATAACTTTAGTCATGCTCTCCAAATTATAGCTGCTCCTCTGACTTCTGGTTTCTTCATCCTATCATTTGTAACAGAGCTGGAATAAGTTTCCTTCCCTTGTGCTTGCCTTGCGAATCAGCTGTCTAGCACACATGCGCACACACAGACCTCTTTTCCTCGTCATCCCTCTTACTTCCCTGGTATGTGTTTATCTTTCCTTGGCTAATGCTGCCTGTGTGGTATGCAGCAGGCTGTAATGCTCAGACCAGGTTTGGTCTTCACAATCCAGTGGCTAATGTACTGTTCTTCTGAAGCGTATAGTGAAAAAAAATTGTTGTATGAGCTAAATTTAATCATGCCACACATATTCTCATTTAATAGTGTTGATGATTTGTAGACCTTGTTAGCTCAACATGATTGTCCTCTATTATCTATTGTTTTTTGTGATGTTTTCACTATGAACTGGCAGAGAAAGAATGCTGTTGGTGTTTGCTCTTAAGAGATTTTTAAAACCACTATTTCTGAAGTTTTTTCTTCAGTTTGATTTGAGATGAGCGGGACTATATTTGGTGCAGGTGAAGTCAATCTGCCAATGTACCAATCAGAATTAGCAATATGTATACGTCAGCAACCTGCGCTCCTCTTCCTCATATAAAGTGACTGCTCTTCTGCTGCTCAGAGTCCCAACGAAAACTTCCAGCAAGTAAGTTATTCAACCCCTTAAATGGCCTAAGTTTTATTACAGACTTCTACAACCTGACATTAGGTCAGCCAGTTGGCGCTGAAGTCCCTGTATTTGCTGAATATTTAGCATTAGTATGTAATATGCCTGGGATTATAAGGGGTTAAGCTTCTCTAAAGTTGTTCACAGTGCTTGTTATGAAGATTTATTACACCGTTCTTTGTAGCATAGCCACCTGCTGCAGAATTCTACAATGAATGATTGACTTCATTTATATTAGTTATGTTTTTGGAACATTTATTTATTAATTTATATAGACTTCTTGAATATAACAGTGATAAACGGTTTTTCAACAGTATATCTTCACTATGACAACAAAAATTTAAACATTTGAAACCATGTTGTCAGGGCTCTAAAGATGTAATAGCTATTGAATATGTAAGGGAAAATCTAATTCCACAATATAATTTATAATACAGATAACTGCCTCTCAAAAGTTTAAAACATTCTGCCAGTATTTTGCTTGCTGAAAATAAATAAAAATGTTTTCTAACAAAAACTATCAGTGAAAATACAATATTACACTGGAACCAGTAGCACTGTAAAAAGATAGAACAGGGTAGAAGTTGAGATGTGTTTTTGGGGTTTAATTTGATGTAAAATTGCTTTGGGTTATTTCATTCAAAGAATTTATTTGAGTTAAATAAAACCAGGAAAATTGCTTGAAGTTTATTTTCCCTTGAGAAGGGGGGTATTGAATTGACAAACCATTTTTACAGCCAGTGGCGACAGTAACACAGAAAAACTCCCTAAGAGCAAGAGGAAGAAAGGAACCAAGACTCAAAAGGGGAACCCATCCTCCTCTGGTCAACACTGGATAGCAAACAATAACAGAATAATAAATCCACTAGTGGGTGCAGTGGGCAACTAACAGTTTGAAACACAGTTTAGAAATTTCTTTCTCAAAATGCCATAATAGTTCAGTGACTAGGCCTACACTTTGCTCTGAAAGACTTATTGGTGAGCACCTACTTGCTACTAACATTAAGCTTAGTGAATGATTGCTTGTTACCATCAGAAATTTAACAGAACCAGTGTAAATTCTATGTGACAGGTATTCGAAGAATCATTCAACCCCTAGTTGGTATATATGGATGCAAAAGCTTCATATAGCTTCCTGTAAACTTCCTAGAAATTTCCATCTTTACCTTCCATTTCCTGTGATGAAGTTCTTGAACTATACCACTTCCCCATCTCCTGTTCCTATCTTTCAGTCCTACATCTGTTTATCAAGCTGAGGTCCAGCCTTCTAGCTTAAAGCAGAAGCCATCTAGAACTCCAGCCCAAGGTCTCTGAGTTTTCCCATCCTACAGTCATACAATCTTTTTATACTACAACTATTCGTTACAGGCATGGTTGCTTTTTGTGAAAAGCGATTTTAAACCTGAAGACTATTTTGTTTTAATTGTATTGTATGCTAACACTGTTTTCCATTGGTTTTCCTACAAAGACCTAGAGTTTATAGGCTTATGCACTGCTGCCATAGCTGTTCCACTGCAGGCCTCATCATACACAGTGTGCGCAGTGTGTGTTGTGCTGGCCTGCACAGTGCTCAGCTCACACTGGAACAAAGTTAGCACTGTGTCCACTCCACTGCTCACCCTATCCTAATGACACATCAGCCACTTCCAAGTCAGTCCACAGCAGCACTGGGCCAATCTTCTGCATCAGCCAGCATACACACACATATGTACACCAAAACCTTTAAACTCAAACATCTGTACACGCATTGCCCCTCAAACAAAACATGCATGAACATATAAAGAGAAAACTTTCAAAACTTAGACTTCATGAGTTCTCATGACAGCCTATGTGATGTTAACATTACTGTTAGTTGTCATAACTAATGCCGTAATGCTTGATGTCATGACAGCAAACCCTGTGTACAATTAGCGTGTGTTTAACATCAAACGTTATGGCATCTGACATGACATTGTTATTGTTATCATTGCTAATGAACAAAATCTGTCATGATAACTCATAACAGCACATGACATGCATGGCATGGTTATGTCAATGTCAAAGTGTTACTTAATATTCTTGCAACATTTTGAATAAACCTTGAATGAAGTAAAATGACTGTATTTATGTCTGCACACAATGTACTAATGAGACTACAGGTAGTGTGTTGCATACCCTTGAACATGCTTGTTTAGGTTAATTTGGTGCCAAAAAGTGTACCTTGGAGTGATGCCATAAAACAGTAAGGTCCTGGAGATCTACCTTCTGCAGAGTTAATGGCTTAAACCACAAAAGTTCTTCAGAAGTCCTTAATTGTCTGGATCAGATACATTAGTCTTAGGTAGGGTGGGGCAGAGATGTGATGGTAGATGCAAGTTTGTTCTAAGCTCTGCAGAGAAAGAGATCTCCAGTAATTACCAGAGATAACTACTACCATAGAGGAACAAATTGTGTTTCAGCTGAACAACATTTCAGTGAATTGTCCTTTAAAGAACCTTTTAAAGTTGCTTCATAATCTTTCTTCTACATCAATTAAGGACTCTTAAGTACATTTAAAAGCAAGTACTTTTGTACTTCAACTCAAGTCAAAAAGTAAATGGAGCATGTATAATTTTACTTAAATTTTACTGGATTTGTGTACTTTGTCCACTAATGGATAGATGCAGCTGATATCGCCCATCTCCACAATGACATTCTCACGTCACATTCTCGCGACATTATGATGTATTAATACACCCCTACCAAACACTGTCACAGAGAGAAACTTTCTCTTTAGTAGTGATTCCTTATCTTACTTTATACATACATTAAAGCAATATTACAGAGATAGACAGACAGACAGACAGAGAGGGACAGACAGACAGAGAAAGAGTAAGGAAAAAGTGAGACAGAGGTGTGGGAGCAGCCCACACAGCTGTCGAGAGAAAAGAAAGACAAGCCATGCAGTGGGACAGAAAGAAAGAAAGAGGGAGAAAGTTTCATCTTTTGTGTGGGAACACTTGAAGCCTGTCTTATTATTGCACTGCCCCCACCTCCTCTTCTCACCTCTCCCCCACTCCAATTGTTTTCCCTTTTGTCGCCACAGTCCTGTTGGGCATGGCAGCCTACTGACAAAAATGTCTGCGGCAGTTTCTCCCAAATCCTCCCTTTCTGTCTGAAAATAGAACTATCCCAAAAGAGAAGTGTGTCCAGGAAGAGTTGGAAAAGTGAGCTGTCAGAAAAAAATTCCCATGACTCCCACGACTGGAGCATTGCCATGGTTATAACGGAGCTCATAGTTAGACTGTCCTACGCTTTTTCTTTGCCTTAAGTCTCAGACACTCCCAGTTGTCAAGAAAAGTTAAAGTTACGTATGATCACTTAATAACAGTTCGGAGATTGGACTCCAAAATAAGAGTTTAAAGACTTTTTCAGTAGTGATCTTCAGATTTTCTTTGCAAACTCACCATCGGAGCTGACTGTGTCTCCATGCCCAGGGTATCCTCCTTGCCCCGTGTCCCTGTAATCCACCCAGTTAATTCCCTCCAGGCTGTCATAGTTGGACGGCGGGTTGTCCTCCACTGGTACCACAGTGAAATGGGGCATGTTTACATTTGTCTAGCAGCAACAAGGTCTCTGTCTGTCTCTCCTTCTTAGACAGATAGCACTGGGCTTAGTGTTCTCAGCTGAACTCCGCTACTTCCAAGCGCATTCCACTGCTCTTCGCTCACTTCCTCTCAGCACAGCCACATTACCATACTCCCCTCCCTCTCTCTCTCTCTCTTTCTCTCTAACTCTCTCTCTCTCTTTCTCTGTCTCTCTCCACTCACTGCACTCCCCCAGCCCTGCCCCCCTGCCCTCGTCTACAAGAGCTGTGAATACAGCTGGCACTTACGCACTGGCCGGCCTCACTCTCTTCCCACTTCCTCCTCATTTCAGGGCCTGCAAAAACATGAATCACACCCGGGGAGGGCCAGGGAACAATGACGGGGACAGGGGCCTGACACCCCTGCACAGATGTCGCTCAAATGTGAAGAGAGCAGGGAGAATTACAACTAACTGTCCATGTCGTCCTTTGGCTGATTTAGAGTCATTTTCAGAAAGGTTGAAGTGAAACTAGTTGCTCGCAGCCAGCATAAAGCTGCATCCTCCTTCGAGGGTTCTTAAGTAAAAGCAGTGTTTATATATAGAACCATGAACCACTTGAATGCGTAAATAGTTCTTTGCTTGGTTAAATGGTTCTTCTCTATGATGGAAAACCTGTGATAAATGCTTTTTTAAAGAACCTTTCAAGAATGTTTCTATAGGCCTGTTTACACTTTGCATCAAAATGCATTATTGATGATCTGATCACATTTTTTTTTCTTTTGTACTATTTACACCATTAAACATCATTGTGATCACAAAATTGAGTAATAGTGACGTATCTATGTTTGATAGGGTTAATCCGTGTAATGCTATCTTAAGTTACGTGAGCCCTGCTACTGTTTTGATGTTAACTGCATTCATGGCTAGCTAAAGCATAAGAGATCTAGAAATAAATAGTTAGACTGCATTAGTCAATCATCAGTCAATGTAAGTTGTTAATCATGAGCAATTCTCAACAGAATTCATCCTCAAGCAAACTGTATATCTGTAGCAGACTGATGAGAGCAGAATTAACGCTATGGGGAGATGCTGAAAGGTTTTCCTGTTTATTCTCGATTTCTCCTTCACTGCCTCAGCTCTTCAGGCTCCGTTTCCTTATGACATCAGAGAGAATGGATGCTATAAAAGCACTGTTTAGTTTTTTTGTTGCTTGGCACTAGGGCCAGTATGTCATACTGCCCACGTACACTGAGTGTGTGAACTTTGTTTCTTTAAATTTGCACTGGAACTACAAGGCTAATGTAGCTAACAAGTTAAGCTTATATCCTGCCAATAATACACACTGTGTACCTAAATTATCACATACGTCCCTCAAGCCACTCAACATATGTTGACTGATGAACTACATTTATTGTAAGATGACTTTTTCTTCTCCAATTCCTCTCTAGTTTCCTTTAGTAAATAAATGATTATGGAGGGGTCATGCAAGTGCAAGACATCAGACCCTTTTTGGAAAACTGTTGAGTGGTAAATTGTAAAAACTCATGTTTTGTGTGTTTTTTGCAGCTATACTGTTTAAATGCCCACTCATCCATTTCAGCAGGTCTAAGTTACCTTAACCACTCTTCCTTCTTGAGGCAGCTTTTCCTTGTTTAGAATATGTGGTCATTTTAGAGGCTGGCTCACAACTAGCAAGAAAATAACACTGCTGTTTGTGACTGGCACACTTTGGGTACAATTTGAATCTAATATTTTCTCCTCTTCCTCAATAAATAAGATGCTTAGAAAACTATTGGTTGCAGGGGTATTTTTTGCTATAAGAGGTATAAGCAGGCATTTAGGGCTCCTGAGCCACGAGGGGTTCTGAGTATGTTCTTTTGAAAATGTAATGATTTCTTTTTCCTGAGCAAATTTATTTACGTACGAATTCACTTTTTATTCTTGCATTCAAAGATTATGATTGGTGTGGATGGGTGGGATGTAAGTAGGATGTTGCTTAGGGTCCATAAATGTTCACAAACAGCCCTGGTTGGTTGAATAAGAAACACATGCACTATGAGTCTAGAATGATATGTAGCTGTCAAGAAGCCATTCCTGAGAAAAGTAAATTGACAGAAAAGAAGAAAAATTGCAAATCAAGTCAAGAAGCTGTTGGTGTTCTCAGAACAATCAACTGGTCACTTTAAAGTCCAGACCTCAACATCACTGAAAGGGTTTTACGATGAGTTTGATTGTGAGAAGCAGAAAATGCAACCAACTTGTAAGGCAACTTTAGAGGTGTGGAAAAACTTTTTTTCTTTGAGGAACTGAAATTAAGTCTTCCAAAGAAATGGCAAAATTGTATGTAAATTATAGTTGTTGGGGCTTCTGTGTAATTATCTGTTAAATACATGCATTCTGCTTTTTCCCCCCAATGCTGAAAAATGAATAACTTATACTTAATGTCTGTGTGTGTGTGTGTGTGTTTATGTATACATGAATACACGTACACCTACTAATTCATGGAATTATCTAATCGACCCATCATGTGGCAGCAGTATAGTGCATAAAATTATACAGAAACAGGTCAGAAGCTTTAGGTAATGTTCACATCAACCATCAGAATGGGGAACAAATGTGATCTCATTGATTTTGACCGTGGCGTTATTGTTGGTGCTAATATCTGGTTTAAATATTTCAGCAGCTGCTGATCTCCTGGGATGTTCACATACAGCAGTCTCTAGAGTTTACTCAGAATGGTACAATAAAGAAAAAACATCCAGTGAGTGGCAGTTCTGCAGACAGAAATGCCTTGTTGATGAGAGAGGTCAACAGAGATTGGCCAGACTGGTTCAAGCTGACAGAATGGCTACAGATAAACAATCTGTACGATTAGGGTGAGCAGAAATTCATCTCAGAATGGACAACACATTGAACCTTGGGGTGGATGAGCTACAACAACAGAAGATGATGTCAGGTTCCATTTCTGTCAGCCAAGAAGAGAAAGCTAAGGCTTCAGTGGACAGGATCACCAAAACTGGGCAGTTGAAGACCAGAAAAACATAGCCTGGTCTGACGAATCTCAATTTCTGCCTAATAATTAATACCAATCAATCATCTCTTGAATGCCACAGCCTATTTGAATATTGTTGCTGACCATGTGCATCCCATCATGGCCACAATTTACCATCTTCTAAAGGCTATTTCCAGCACGATAACGCACCATGTCACAAAGTAAAAGTCGTCTCAAACTGGTTTCATGAACATGACAATAAGTTCAGTGTTCTTTACTGGCCTTCTCAGTAGAACACCTTTGGGATGTGGACAATGAGAGATTCCCAGCATGAAAGTGCACCTGAAAAATCTGCAGGAATTGCATGATGTCAACATGGACCAGAATCTCAAAGGAATGTTTACAACACTTGGTGGAATCAATGTTAATGCCTGAGGCTGTTTTGAGAGCGAAGGAAGGCGCTACATATATATATATATATGTATAGTAGCACTTTTATTGTTAACATGAGATTTCATCTGGTGTTTCCATTATTTTGTCTGCAGTAGAAGCATGCAGTTGTAAGGTACGCATAACTATAGTAGATTTGTGGTAGGTTTTGTTTCACCTATTTATCCTATTGAATTTTTCCACTGTGACTTTCTGGCCAGAAGTATGTACACAAACAAAGTTCCAGCAAGTTAATAGTTTACAGTAAACTCACAAGCAGAAACTGACTAGGTCTGGTTTCATTTGACTGTGTATGAAAGAACAACCATTTCATTTGTGCACATTCTGTATTAAAAGGACACATTTATGTGCAATAAACAGTTTATATTTACTCAGGGCAGACTATGAATCTTGTTTAGTTTATGCATTTTATCAAGTAGCTGTCTTGGTAAATAATAAAGGCAGAGAATTTATAAGGATAGCTTCACCACTGGAACTCAGCCCAAGGCATGCTTGGAATTATGGCATCATACTCGTCCTGCCTTTGGCGCTACAAGCAGCCACTGTAATAACATTAAAACCAGCTGCACCAAGAGGACTGAATCTGTGTTTGAACAGTTTTGTGAGTCTGTTGGGTGATCCTGACATATTCTCATTTGTGTGTTTTGGTGTTCTTAGAAGTTGGGGAGATGGGCCCTGTTGTTAAAAGCTTGTAGGAACGTTGGCCTTAACATACTTATAAAGTATTTTGTGCTGTTTTTCTTACAAGAGTATACATTTTAGAAGTTCAGTAGAAGACTGCTGTTTTCTATCAAGGAACCGGAAAGAGCAGGGCCTCTACAACAAAAGTAGAGCCTGTAATTACTGCAGGCCCTTCTATTTTAAGACACTACCACCAATCCACCACTTGTATTTTTTCCAGCATTCATTTTATTCTTTTTCCAGCAGACATGCTGCTTGCAGTCGTGTTTTCTTCTTTTGGTGTGTGTGAGTGCCTGTGAGAGACACTTAAACCCCCAACATTACCAATACATATAATTTGTCATATTGTCTCACTTTCAAATTGTTGTTTCAGATGCTGTAAAACTAAGCAGTAGCCAGAAGTTACTTGTTTCTAAAGGTGTTATTGTTACTTTGAGCCCTTTTCTGTCTTGTCCCTGTGGTTTAGATTGCTACTGTCTAATAAACATTGGTTTAGTTGTGCAGTGAGTGACTGTGGGGATTATGAGCAATGTCTGAGAGCAATACCATCATTGTAATTACTAGACAGTCAACAAGCAATACGTCTGCACGGATGCACAGTCGCATTGTGCTATCGATAGACAAACAAAGTCAGAGATAAAGTCTTATAGGAAACAAAAAGATTAACATGGAGATTAGATTGAGGTACTAAATAAATAATGTGATGGGTCATAACCTACACTGTGTATCAAAATGTTGTAGACACCTGCTCATCCAAAGTTTTTTTCCAAAATCAAGGGCATTAATAAGGAATTTGTCCCTTAGTTGCTGCAGCACCATCACTACCTCTTCTGGGACAACTTAAATCTAGATGCTGGAACATTGGTGTGATGATTTGATTGCATTGAGCCACAAG